GCAACATCGATATCCAGGAATACTTTATCCTGTATAGTGGAGAAAACAGCATATCCTCTCCAGTTGAAGTCAGGAAATTGGTCTTTGTCGACTGCAAAACGTACTGGTCGCTGATCTTCCGAATGCCCATCTTCAGCTTCATACTTAAATAAAATTATTCTTTGAGGAAACAGAATATCCCGCAACGAAATGAGCACAGTACCTGGTGGTGCCATAAAGTGGGAAAATAGTGATTTTCAATTGGCTTGTCACATTGCAAACCGGTAACTCGTGGACGGCATCGACATTGTCCAGTTAAAGCATCACAGTCCGCTCGCAGTGCGCCACCAATATCACAGTTGCACGCTAAGATAAGCGTCATTAAAGAAAAAAAATCCAAAACTGATTCAGTATACGGCTTGTTGGGCGCCTACGAGTGATCGATCGAATAATTACGAGATTCTTTAGAATTTTTCTAGCGTCACAAGCCTCATCGTCTATGGTAAACCTGGGAACATTAGAGCTTGGCTAACTCCGGATCACAGGGGAATCAAGCTGTGTGCAGGCAATTCCAACGTGAAAAAGACGATTTTACAATGTAAAAGTTCAAGATGTAGAAAGGTCGTTCATGTGGTTAGGATAAATTTATTTCGAGTATTCCTTATTGAATTTCTTATGGTTCTTATACACACCTTACTTTTGAAGCAACTTTTCAGCCTCCCACAAAAATTATGGATATATGCATGTATATATGCAAATGTATATGTAAGCATTTACATATATACATATATATATATAAATATGTAATATATACATGTAAATGTACATACATTATTTATACTACTTATATATAGAGTTGGCCTATTTCATATTTCAAGTCCACACGATATGATGTCAAAGCTCTACTGTACGTTATATTTCGGCAAAGCTGCCTTCTTCACAGCCGTAATCAATCATGTGAGTCAGCTGCCCACAAAAGTTATTTCTCAAGATGATCGAATTTTCGCAATGATACTAAGTCAGAAGGTAAAGTTGAAAAAAACGCATTCTTCTACATAGGAAGCCCTATAAACGGCATTCAAGTTGACGGTCATATGTGTAATGTCGGTTTATACACTTCGTGAAAGAGTTGAGAGACATGGATATGAGGATAGTTGAAAATGACACTTTCCAGAGTCACTAATCAAAAATCGATTTTTGACTAAGAGGCTTCATGGAGATATGAACCCCAAGTGAAACTATGATCCAAAACATCTCCCTGTATCGAATTGAATTTTCGGAGATTATAAATAAAGTGAACAAAAAATAAATCGCCGTTAAATGAGTCTGCTCTGCACTCTTTCTGTTGAAACAAGACGGTCCTTTGGCACATTGATATGTGAATTAGCAATAAGGAAAAAAGAAGCCGATACTAATAACAACACTGAAAAATTTCACAAACGCACGTTCGCAGCCTAATTGGTTGAAGCCCTGGAGATTATAGAAACCATCCGCACATTTCTCACATTGCCTACCACCAGCATTTCGCTTACAGACACACTGGCCAGACCTTAAAAGGCATCACCATTGGTCCCATGAAAATGTCTATAGCAAATTCTATTCAGAACCTCAGAATATGTATTGAAATCATTTAACCCACTTTAGGTCGCAGATGTCTAGCATCGAAACCGTTCCATTCAAGTGACATTGGCAATCTTGAAAAAAATAAGGTGATTATTTCAATCTAGATGATTCACAGAACCGCATTCCTACCAATGCATCCATCTTCGTGATGGTATTGAAGATCCCAGAATGTTGGCTTACACTGGTCACAAATTCGTCCATCAACGTTCTTTCGACACGAACACAACTCACCAGGTTTCACCTATTCAGAATTTCTGTCATTACTAGCATTACCTCACTAATTTCCCATTCATTTGAACATCTACAAATAACTCGCTCGGTATAAATCAAGCCGCACACCTTATCACATCCAGCAAAGTCAAGTGTCACACCAGCTGGATGACAGTTACACTCTTCGCATGTGGGAAAGTTATAGAAATTAGGCTTACACCGATCACATCGCTCTCCCTGAGGTTTAAATTGATTATTAGTTAATCCAGTTAGTTATCCAGTTAATTCAAAAAGCAAAGACCAAATTTAGTAAGTTTACTCTTTTTATAATACGATAAAGAATGCACCTCGAAATTTTCTTTACAATAACATTGTCCTCTACTGTCGCACGCTTGCCCTTTAGCACCGTCTATGAAGCATCCACATGCCTATAAAAAAGATTGTTACAGCGTCGAATATCTACCTACTTCACACAGAAAAATTGGAAAATTCGTTCAATGACACAGCTGTGGACTATACATACTTTGCAGTTAGGATAGTCGTAAAATCCCACAGCACATTTGTCACAGGTTCGGGCGGTAAAATTACTGTAGCACGGACATTGTCCAGTGTTCATGTCGCATTCCAAAGCTTTAGCGCCTGCTCCCACACAGTTACATTCTAAAACCCTAGTAATCTACAAAATGGCTGCTTTCTCTAATTTGAAAGAATTAGATAATACATATTACCTTTACAGTTCGGATAGCCGTAATAGCCGATGTCGCACTGATCACATTTCTCACCGTAAAATCCGTCTTTGCACATGCATTGCCCAGAATGAGGATCACAAACACCGTTTTCGGTTCCAAGAGGATCACAGTTACAAACTGTTAGTAGAAAAATATTCAAGTAGCTTTTTTGCAAACACAGTTTAATTTCTGGCCCGTCAAAATGTTACACAATCCTTACATGTGCAATTCGGAAAGCCGTAAAATCCCGTTTGGCACTGATCACACTTCAAACCACTAAAGGCTGGCTTGCAGACACACTGTCCAGTAGTGGCTGAACAGTTCGAATGCGCCGCTCCAATATCGTTGCAGACACACTCTCAAAAAAATATTTTATAAAGCAGGAATAGTTCTGAAAATACGACAATTTTGTAATTATTAATAAACTGGTTAAAAATTGAAATACGATACTTGAGTAGCCACTATTGCGTACGTTAAGGCATTTAGTTTACTATCAAATGATTCAATTGAAGCATGAGGACCATTTCAGGGAAAAAGAGCCATCAAAGACTATGTAGTACCTTTGCATCCTGCTGTAACATTGGTGAAGCCGCTTTCACACGTTTCGCAAAACGTGCCACCAAATCCTGGTTTACATGGACACTGTCCACTATCAGGCTGAATTTTTTGCATTTTAAATTCTACCACAATTGACAGATGCTATGAAATAAATAATACAAGGCTCAGTTGTATAATAAGAATAACTGGGTGTGATTAGCAAAACCTTTAGGTAATGCTTTACAGGTCGTAAAAACTGAGAACATGACGATTCACGTGACTTACCGAGCAAATATCTCCTATAGTACCCTCGACGGTACATTCGCACTTCTTACATTCTGGTGGATCATAGTACCCTTTAGCACATTTGTCACAATTCTCGCCTTCATATCTTGACTGACAATAGCATTTTCCAGTTCCTTCCCCGCAATCTCCGGTATGTCTACTTGGATCACAGTTGCAAGCTAAATTGTTGACATCTTGGCAATTACAGACCACACTGAAGTATTTCACATCTAGCAATCAATCCAATTTCTCCTTGCATCAACTCTCTTCCGCTGGTTATGAATTCACTATAGCGAATGTTTTTCTAAAATCTAAGCATCCAGTGCTTTTAGCCTCTCGAACATTTTGAGCTTTTTCTCCTCGAAAACAACGAAATTATCCGAACACATAGTGCAAACTTAGAAACATACGCTTGCATGGCATCATATCGCTCCATTGCACACCATCAGGGCGGTAATAGCCGAATGAGCATTCGTTACAGTTGACACCTTCCGTGTGATCCTAGATAGTTTGAATTTGAATTTGTTTTGGAATTTTACTATCGCATTGAAAAATATCGCAGCCATTGCAATTGTCTTGCAGCGCTGATCTTACCCGACAATTCAGACAACGTCCGCCGCCTTCGTAGTTTCCATGAATATCGAGGGACAGTCGATTCACAAATACGTCTTCATCATGTACACATTCATTGGAACGTCCAAAACAATTACATGCTAAACAAAAGTCATTGTCATTGTTTTATGATGAAATTTGCTACAAATCAATTAAAAGGAGAGGATAGTGTAGTGTGGTAGTTCCGTTCATTTTTCGAACAACTTTATTCACCTATGCGCTGATTTGAAAATAGGTAAGTCAGGTCGTCCGCTTCACCCGGCCTGACAAGCCTCTCATTTCACGGGATCACCAACTGTACTTAGACCTCTCTGAGACAAGGTTACTTTCTCTACTCCACGTGCAATCGCCCTAATACGGCTATCTCAGGATTCCAGCAATCAACACTACCAAACTTAATGACATTCGTGTCAGAGACGAGAAACTCCAAGTCACAGGCAAACCCTCACGCAAAAAATTCGTAGATTTTTGTCAACTGAGTTCATAATAAATGCAGGAACGAGCCAATCCAGAAATTGTAGAGTTTGCACAAGATCTGCTTATTTCTTGTACTGTCGGGTTGTGCAATAAAAAATAGAAGGTGAAATATTACAAACAAAGCGTACGTTCGCAAGTGAAATTATTGTGCGCTGTGGTCGGCTGCCACTTTTTTTGCTCGAATCCTGGACAACATCGCTCGCACATATCTCCACATGTGTTGTGTTCACATCTGAACATTATTAACATTTATATTACAAATAAGGAACATAGAACTGAAAGGAAAATACCTGCACAACAGAGTACGCGGTCTTCTGGGATCCAAAATATCACAAGTACCAGCGTGACCATTACAAACACAACGTCCTCCCATAAGGATTTCTTTGATGGAATAGAAATACTGAAAATTTTTGGACATTTGTGCACACGTAAATAGAGGGTCAAATGAAAACAAGGCAGCTCAGACTGGAAGCGCGGTATTACTTTGTTGAAATCCACTATACAATCACCATGTTTTCTGGTCACTAGAGTGTAGTACAAAAACACATCTGCGTCAGCAATGATACGAACCCAGATCTCACTCTTTCCGGGAGCGTGCGCTGAACCGTTGCACCACCGACGCATCGCTCTACATTATGTATATATTGAATCAGAATTCATATTATTTGACCGCGTATTGCGGTGGTACGATGTCACATTAAACCCATATTCATATCAGATATACCATCAGAGACCCGCCAACATCTTAGACCACCGCTGCAAGCCGTAGAGCATGTGGCTCTGATGAGGCGGACGAGACTGCCAAAACATAAGTAAGCCACTAGCGTACTAGACCTCACAAAAACTCAAAACATTCTATCAGGTTATGATGAACTGCCTTATTTCCCAGCTTATCACGGCTGGCTGAATTTCACATTTTGCTTATAAGGAAGTGTTTTTTTTTTCGAATCCTGGAGAGTGTAAAGCGGACAGAGTAAAGTCCCGGCTATTTGCTCCATGTGGAGTAGCTTTGAAGCAAGCATCTCCAGCAATATTGGGCTGGTAAAGTCCCGTGTGGTGGGTTCTATGGTCAAAGAACAAACTCGAGCTCGACTGAACCTTCTCTCTCGCAGTAGTATCTGACATCCTAAGCTGATTTGCGTAAATATTTGTGTTTATCTACTGGATACCTGACAACAATTACTAATGTAGCGTATGCTCCATAGCCGAAGGAAGAAAACTTGCATTACATTCGTGTTGTATACTTGTGGATACTTTATCTAGTGAAATGGTAGCCGCTCATCACATTGCAGTTAGGATCCATAAGGCATATTAGCATAATAGAACACCTAGTTATTGCTTCAGGCTTTTGACTTTTTCTCAAAACAGAAGCAGTAACTGGCAACACGAATTTCAGGCAGCTTGGCTCATCTTTCGCAGAATTCATCATACCGTCATTAAGTGATGGATTGACGGCTTCACTTGGCAGCCTCCAATAGTGGCAATAGCAACATTAAGATGTTTCTATTGATTAGTGCATCATATTCGAAGACCTTTCAGGTGCCGTTATATCTCCTTGACCTTGATATAGAGATGAATATAGACCAACGTAGATTTCAAGTCTATAGTCGGTGGCGATAAATTGTCAAACCAGCACGATAACGTAATTGTACACCTTGTTTCTAAGTATTTCATGATTAGTGCTGGAGATAATGGGCCATGTGTAATTGCTCAACCGGCCCACTTATAATAGTGATTAAATGGATTTAAAGATTGTGTGGCATCTTCTTTTTTCTATCGCTGGTTTACAATCTCATGCTCTTCAACACTACATACGTGGAAAGACTCGGATTGTTTCTACGACTGGTCCTGCAAGTGAGCTATTTAAAATGGAAAAAGCTTGCTTCACGAAGTTCTACATTGACACCTAATAAATGGTGCTACTTTCCGTAAATGACTTTACTTTCTGGATAACAACTGTTTACGAAAAGCCGTGAATGAAATAGAATCATGGACCAATTTTTCTGAATGTTGTCCATTTTTCAAATTATTTACAAACTAAGATTTTTGGAGATTTGAATCTAAATATTTCAACATGAGTAGCGTCTTGTGGTTGCGTTTGACGTATGAACTACGCGTTCACTTTTATAGCGTGTCTAAATGGGTGAAATCTCGTTTGGCTAATGGATTAGATGCCAATAGTACTAAATCGGCATAAACGAGAGAAGGAAATAAAGAATGTTTACTGAATTGTAAAAGGTCAAAATCTCATCATAACAACAGATAAATAAAATCATTTCGTTGAAGAACACTTCTGAATCTTTTGGACTTTTGATCCAGTCATATATGTACACAGGGGGCGAGAAAAGTCTTGTCACATTTATATTTTGTTTATTGCGGTATTGATATGATGTTTTTCCCTGATTTTGCTAAAGCTACTAAATTCTTTGTCTAGTTTCAATCTAGAATCTGTTTTATATTTATTTATCTATTTTCAGTTGTGCTAAAGTTATGGATAGTAGAAATCAACGTAATGTAGTAACTGAGTTGCACAAGACGTGAATGGATGTGGCCGACATTGTTAAAATAAACTAGTTCGAGACCCGCAAATGCATACAGAGCCATGAAACGTTTTAAGAAGACTGGAAAAATTGAGAACTGTCATTAAAAAGGTCGTTTAACCACCTCGTATACTCCAGAAAAATTCAGAAGATCCGCTGTCAAGTTCAACGAAATCCGGAGCGTTCAATGAGCAAAATGGCTCGGAAACCTCGGATAAAGCGAGTGGAGCGTCCGAAACATTACCAAAAATTTGAAGTTGCGCAGTTAGAAGATCTCTCGTATTCACTATATGGACAAAAAATGAAAGAAAATCTGCTTCTAAAGGACTGCCGAATGATTCGTTTGGTGGATAATGCATTTGTCGAAGGTGCTTTTTGAGGAAGAGAAAATTTTCACTGTCGAATCACTCCACAACCGCCAGAACCGACCTCAGCTTCTCAAGAATGGTCAGCAGAAGTCCGCAGAAGCAAAAACTGTGTGCCGCAGACAATTTTTGGCCTCGCTGATGACCTGGGCCTGCATTTTTGCCACCCGGAAAGACACTGCTGGTTTTTATAAAGAGAAACATTAAAATCAAAGCTACCAGCTATCAATAGCAAGTTCTTAGTTGCGTACTGAAGTCTTGGACTACAAAGTACTTCGGCTTCACTGTACTTACGCTTCAGCAGGACTGAGCCCCCTCACATTGGGCCTGCTGAACGACTGCCATCTCTAAAGAGCAGTTCCCAGGTTTTTGGAGCAAGAATATATGGTCACCAAACTTGCCAGATCTTATCTCAATGGATCACTCCGTTTGATCCATACTGGAGAAATAAATTTTGGCTGCTCACCACACTACCGTAGAGGCGATTAAAACGGTTTTGACACGCGCTTGGGATAATTACGGTGCAAACTCGTGCGAGCATCATTGAAAATTTTCGCACGTGCTTCATAAATGTAATAAGACCAAAGGAAGCAATTTTAAAAATTTTTCATAAAGTTCTTTGTTTGTTGTTATAGTTGTCGAAAACACTGAACAAACTTTTCTCGTACTCTCTCTCTCGCTCTTTCTTCATTTGTATATATATATATATATTATATATATATATATATAAATCTACATGTATATATATATCCTTTTATCCTTTTATATATATATATCCTTTATCCTTATATACTATATATATATATATATATATAATATACGTAGAAGGATATTTGCATAAGTGTTCGTTAACGTACCCTTCTGGTGACAGTAGGATCCGTTCTATCATTAAGATGCATTAGATGACCTTGAAGCGTTCTAGTCCCAAGAAGACGAATTCGCACATTTGTCGCACGGGTGAAATTCTGGAGCGCTTCCGATGAAGAGAATTTGAATCGACTCGGGCGATGCTCAAGAATTTTGATCACCATCTAGAAGAGGCGGTTCAGGTATTGCATTAAGATGTTAACAAAGTACAATGTGGATGATGTGTCAATTACGTGAACAATGGTAATAAGTTATTTCCACGGATTTCCCAGAAAAGGTTAGGATAAGTCGGGTGCGACGCTATGTGGCGCATTGATAGGCGGCTGAAATGGGCCTGGACGTTGAGCAAAAATAGGCAATTGATAGGTAAGTAATAGGTTGGGGGAAAAGTTTTGAGAAAATACTTGTAACTTTTCTGGATGTCGGCCATTTTTTGTGTTTTTGGGAAAATTTTAAAACCCGTCTTCTCCTGCGTTGATTGGTATATAATTGACATACTTATTTCAAGATGGGGTCAACAAGACAGTAAATCAGGTTGTCGATGATACACGAGTGGCTGTTGGATTCAAATGCAACGGTGGCAAGTGAACGCACCAATCTGGCCTGTGGCGAAGACACAGTTGGAAAAAGTAGGCAGGAGAAGTGGCAGGAAGTGCTTGAAGCTAAAGGGGAGTGCATTGACTATTAGTTTTGTCTTTGTTAGGGTGTAATAGGTACATAAATAATGTTTTACAAGCATTTTCTCACAAGCTTTTCCCCAACCTATCATATGGAGGCTGTTATGGGTTTTTCAACGAGTAAATCAGAGACATATTGGCATTGCGAGAACTCGATGAGCTGCCCGTGATTTATCCAGACCATTCAGCAAAGTGCGCAAACTATTAAGAGAAATATCCTCGCTAAAATGGTACGATCTAAAGCTTTTCACTAAAACCTTGATACTCTCCGTGTCTTTCAGTAAACGAAACATTCAGGCCATCTGTTGCTTCCGACAGTGCTGAATGGAGACATCTTTACGGCTGCTCAGTGATCTATCTGTCGCATAATATCAAGCATACCCGTGTTATACGAAATTCGTAGACGATTTGTGATATAAAGTCACCAAGAAGCATATATTCTACAGCGACGTAAGAGCTCGCCCATGATCACAGACGTCAGCAGTTTCTACAGAAAAATCTCACCTCAGCATTCTCAAGTGGATGAATTCCAGCCAAATCAGAACGACACACTACTCGATCATCTTCGGAGATTGGAGAGAGTGACTCCATACCGAATTGCTGAAATTGAATTTTTGCTGAATAAATACTAGTCAATTATCAATATATGCAAGAATTGCTCTTTACTGAAATACTACGCTAATATATAGCACTCAAAAATTGGAGTTCAAATCCATCTCTATCAAATTTAAGCCGGCGCTTATTCCGAAAATAGCTTAGCACTGCTGATCATTCTTAACCATATTGCTGATCTCGAAGAGTAAGCGTTTGTATTGCGGCTCAATTATTGCGTTACAATGACTACTCATGCAAACAGATTCTAATTGCCTGGAGGAGAAGCATAATTCATGGAAATAGTGGGTTCACAGTTATGCGTTTTCCTACGTAATTTCTACAGACACTACATGACTTAATGATAAAAACATATTTTCCGAAGATGCACTGAGCACAGTAAATTAGGTGAGCAAAGCGGATGAAGTACATTGCACACAACTCTTTTTGAATACCTTCGATTCAATTTGCTAGTAAGAGATTTTCGTGTCATTTTGTTATCTAGGTCATCGCTTCTGAGACAGAAAACCACCTTGAATTTTTTCAAAGTTGAGAAGAACACCAGTTGAAGGAACTCACTCT